TAACAAGCATTACATATTTTTGTGAAATGTATTGAAAATTGATTAATGAATTCTTTTTAAATTATTTCTCGATTTAAGTTAACAAGAAAATTATAAACAATAAACCAAAAACATAAAATACACGTGCATAATGTAAAATTAAATTTATTATAATTCGAAAAATAGAAACTAATTTTTAAAATTGGTAATATCAGAAATGTATTAAATTTTTATTTTATTATCATATTAACTTAAACTTAGAGTTCTCCATCAAATTAATTTATTTTTGATTAATATAATATTTTATTAAATATACAATTTTCAATACTTAAAAATTATATTATAAACAGGGCCGGATCAAGGTATAGGCGAACTAGGCACCAGCCTAGAGCGGCACTTTGTTGGAGGGTGGCATTTTCAAAATTGACTCGTACATTTTTTTTTAGTTCTATCGGTGTTTTATAAGAAAAATATTGAAATTAATTCATTCGTGAAAACCACTTACTTATATAATAAAATAATATTGTCTTAAGTTATTACATAACTATACACTACGGACTACGCTGAATGTTTTCAATTATTCCAAAAATATGAATAACCACACAATCACTTCAGCGATTTCCGATAGTTGCAATAGTGATTGGTTTTAATTAATAACGATAGAAATAATTTTTAAGTCTTTCTACATATAATTTTATATCTACATAAAATAAAAAAAATTAATTTTTTTTATGCAGATATTTTGTAACATAAAAAATAGAGGGAGGGACTAAGTTAAAATTAGAACTTTTTTTTTAGAGGCGGCAAAATTAAATTTTGCCTAGTGCTCTATTTTTGCTTGGGCCGGCCCTGATTATAGATTGTGAACAATGTGTATGTATTGGTTTTATAATTTTTTCCTTAAATAATATTCGATAAAGTTTTCGTTAGTTTTTCGCAATTATTAAATAAACTATTAATAAATTAAACCTTAAAGTAACAACTAGAACCCATTTCTTGTCTTTTAATTTTTAATTGATAATTATCGGAGCTATTCTTCTGGTGTAAATCGTATACACGGACACAATGTAAGACACAAATCATTAAAAATGTGTATATTGGAGTTATTTATAAGAATAAATAAGTAAATTCTAAACTATTTATAAATGATGTAACGTTTGTATAAAAACTATTTAACTTAATACCCTACACATATAATTATCTATTTTAAATGGATAAAAATGAAATTTAAAATTACAGAAAAGTAAACGTTATTAAAAATAATTACAAACTCTTTTGCCATTGGTTCTATAATGTATTTGAACGATGACAATAAAATCCATGAAAATGGCCATGAGAAAACTGAATTTTAATGAACAATAAACTAAAGCGTTAAAAAAATATTTTTCAATTTATGATCAAACTAATAAATATAATAATTGTTTTGTTGCTACAGGTATTCCTAATTTACGAAGTTGTATTCTGCAAGTGTATTATGAAAACTAAAGCACCACATGTTCATCTCGTCAAATCCTATGTAGATGATTTTCAAAGAAAAGAACGTCAAGCTTCGATAGGTATCAGACATCGGTTATTATTAGTGGAAACGTTTGAAAGTTTGCTTTAACGCGTAATTTTAATAAAATATGGAATTTTAACTATAAATATAACTAGGTCAACACTAAATTTCTTCTTGTATTTTTAAAAATAATGATCAATTTTACTTTTGTAGATCCATCCCGCATGTATTTGCCACCCAAAATAGATTCTGTTGCATCAAGTGATTTTGGAGATCAAATTGACGCATCAAACAATTCCAAGGGTTATGGTGAAATTGCACTCGTTCAAGACAATTTTTCCAACAACCAATCAACAGAAGTTAACAATTATGGCGTATCGACTAAAACTACAGATGGTTCAGGTGATACAGACCAGAAGTTACCGTTAAGTAGAAATAGCAGATATAATACTTTGACATCGGGAGATTCTAATATGGGACGACTTTCAAATAAAAATAGTGTGAGAAATTTACCAGGAACTGACAACTACGGTAGTTCATCAGGTACAACAATACCTAACAATGGTATCACTGCACTATGGGGAAGGACAGATAATTACGAACAAAAGGAATTATTAGCTACTGTTCAAAGTCAGGGTCTAACAAGAGGATATTACAATCAAGTAACAGATGGTACTCAGTTTGGTCAGAATTTAGATTTTGGCAATCGATATACCCAAAATATGGTTCAAACTACAAACCTGGGTTATGATAACACAGCTTCGTCGCCAGATAGTCGAAGTGTTGGTCAGAAATCATATGACCGCGGAAATAACAGAAATATTGTATCTAGTGAGAGTTCACAGATATTAAATTATAACAGTGGTTATGAAAACACATTACCCTATCCGTATACTCAAATACCAGTGAATAGTGGTCAACGAAATGTATTACTTGGAACTAATAACTATGAACAACAAAGATCTCATTCACTTGGAATTGAAAAAAACTATCGTCAAATTTCTACAAAAAATAATGGATACAATCAAGATGGTTTATTAAATCCATTGAATGGATTTAATCAAGGACAACAAAACCAACAGGTGTCCAATAGTAACGGGCCACCAAACTTTCAAACGCCCGTAAATGAAGGAAATTATTTCCATAGTGCTTCAAACATAGGCACAACTGATGGATATAAAAAAGAAGCACTGTTTATTGGAGCAAATGGTTTTGGTCAAAGCCAAACTGCTGTATCAAACAACTATGGACCAACCAGTTCTCAATCATCATTTTCTAATAGAAATCATTATGACCAAAATAACGGAGGATACTATCGAAACGCATTGATTAGACCACAAGGAGATCCCGACAACTATAATTCCTTAGGTTATCAGGCATTTTCTTTGAATAAAGAAAATTATTATCAAAATTTAGTAACAAATCGTGGGTACACTCAAGAACCTCCACAGAATTCAAACAATCTAAGACCTTACAGTATTGAACAAAATCCTTCAAATCGGAGTAATAAGGAAACTGCTAAATTAGGAGCTCATAGTCAGAGTGCATCCACGTCATCTGAATGTAACTGTGGCACGCCAACAGATAAACCTCAAAAAGGAGTTTATAATAATAATGGAATAGCTACACAAATTTTGGGTCAAATAACTTTCAGTTCGACCCCTAGTTACGAGCAAGGAACAAAATCGTCGAGTATAGGTAATATTAACTTAAGAACAAAATCTAGTTGTGGAGTACATAAATCAAAAATACATTCCACTCTCGTTCCAAAAGATCAATATCAGAACTCTAATTTACCGGGTAATCCAGTTTTTCAAAAACTACCTAATGGAGCAAACACGCCAACCAACAATGGTGATTTTGGTTTACCTGGTCCAAACGCATTTTCTAATTTTGCACCAGGAAATCAACTCAATCGACTGAATAAAACAAATGACTCTCCTACAACAACCAACAATGGTGATTTTGGTTCACCTAGTCCAAACGCATTTTCAAATTTTGCACCTGGGAGCCAATCGAGTGGAGAAAATAACGTTCCAGTAACAACCAACAATAGTGGTTTTAGTTTACCTGGTCCAAATGCATATTCAAATTTTGCACCAGGAAATCAACTCAATCAACCGAATGAAACAAATGACACTCCTGCAACAACCAACAATGGTGATTTTGGTTCACCTGGTCCAAACGCATTTTCAAATTTTGCACCAGGAAATCAACTCGATCGACTGAATGAAACAAATGACACTCCTGCCACAACCAACAATAGTGATTTTGGTTCACCTGGTCCAAACGCATTTTCAAATTTTGCATCAGGAAATCAACTTAATTCACCGAATGAAACAAATGACTCT